TCAGTATATGTAAATTTCACCATTTTTCTTGCGCATGACTGAGTTTAACAAATTTCCACTTTTTATAATAATTATTGTATTTTTCAAGAAAGGATTAAAAATAATGAGAAAGGATTAGATTAAGATAAGACGGATTTAAATGTAATATAAATTTTAAAAAGTATGTAGAGCGGTTTAATTTTGAGATTTGATATGAGAGGTGAAGTTTGGTATGAGAGGTTTTGATGTAGGAAAAACCTGTTAAACTGGTTTAAAATTACTTCTTAAACTCGTGAACTTTTAGGAATCATTATAAGCTTATGGTTATGTAATCTTGTGAAAATCGTGTTTTAAAACGGATAAATCAATCCAAAACCACTTGTTGAACCCTTAAACCTTTGGAAGCCGTTTGGATATGTAATCTTGTTAAAATTAAGTTGATTTCTTTAAAAAGTTCAATTTATTCTTAAACCGGTTTGATCAAAGTACCCTTAAACCGTTTGGTTTAAACCTTTTGGTTAAAGCGAACTTTTGTTTGACTTTAGTCTTGTTAACAATATGGGGAGGGTTTAACTACTATTTTGTGAAAATTTTATAAATTTAACATTTTTTCCTTGCTAACTAAAATTTTGCAATGTAATTTTTGCATGACAGATTTTTGACCTATTTTAACAATAATTTTTGTAACAATTATTGCATGAATGAATTTTTATAATTATTATATATTTTCACTTTTCACTGCCTACTTTTTTAATAATTTTTATATTTTTCAAAATAAAGGGTAAAAATAAAAATAGATATTTAGAAAATAGAGAAGAGGGTTGGAAAGGTTTTTTTCATTAATTATCATTAAGAGTACATCTTTTGAACCGGTTCAGAAGAAATTCTGATCATCTTGAACCTTTGGGAACTATTTTAAATTTATGGTTATGTAATCTTTTAAAGAGTATGCGAAATTCTTCTTTGAACCGGTTAAACCGGTTCAAAACCACATCTTAAAACCTTGACTTTTGGGAAACGTTTTGGTTGTGTATTGTGAAAAAATAGGGAGAAAATTTGGTTTTCTTTAAAATTTTTACTCCCAAACCGGTTTGATCAAAATACCTCTTAAACCTTTTGGAAACTCCTTGAACTTTTGGACTCTGACGACGGAGTGGTTGAATGATCGTTTAACTAATGGGAGGGGCTAAATGGTTGGACCCCGCTGCCCCCAACGACTTGGAGGGGTGGTTAACTACTATTTTTTAATCATCACTCCCCAAATTTCTACTCCCCAATTGTCCACTCCCCAAATGTCCACTCCCCAAATTTCCGGGCACGTTTTAACCATTTATGTGGAGTCAAATAACTGGAAAGTAGTGTTCGGCAAATGGATTTTTCCAATACTAATACCAGTAGTAACGAAAAGTATCGAGTCGGTACTATCGGTAGGACAGCGGTAGTACCGAGCTGTGCCGAACACTACTGGAAAGTACCCGGGAAATCTACTAGGGTGGTCCATAAGTTCGTTCGTTTTTATGCTATCCTAGATAATCGTCTATATCTTACCTTGGAATTGATAAAATTAAAACTTCTTGAGTTCATCTTATTTAGAAAAGAATTGTCTATAAAATACAATTTATTTTATAATTTTTCACGTTTTTAAAAATTTTTTATGGATTTTAGAAAAAATATGAAAAAATACTATTTTCGTGCATTTTTACTTCACTATTGGAAACAGTACTTAAAAACAACGGAATCTGCGCGAAAAATTTGCGAAATTGAAGGTGATGGTGTACTTCAGCTAGTCTGGCACAAAATTGGTTCAAAAAAAAAGAGCTCGTCGAGCTCTTTTGAACGAGCTATTATTTGTATAAAAGTTTTTATTCCAAAAAGATCGCCCCTTTGGCACTTCGATATTTAGGAGCCTATATCTCAGTCCAATCAAGTTTTTGTGTCATTCAACTCAGCTCGAGGAGCTATACGTGTGCTAGTTACTGGATCGGCCTCAACCAGTTTGCGCAATGCCTCAGAATCCGTCGAGACTGGTCTTCCCGATCAGTGCTTTTCTTCGAGACTTAGGTTGCCATCATTGAATTTTTTGAACCAATTTTGTCCCAGACTAGCTAAGTACACCATCACCTTCAATTTCGTAAATTTTTCGCGCAGATTCCGTTGCTTTTAAGTACTGTTTCCAATAATGAAGTAAAAATGCACGAAAATAGTATTTTTCCATATTTTTTCTAAAATCCATAAAAATTTTTAAAAAAGTGAAAAATTATAAAATAAATTGTATTTTATAGACAATTCTTTGCTGAATAAGATAAACTCAAGAAGTTTTAATTTTATCAATTCCAAGGTAGATATAGACGATTATCTGAGACAGCTTAAAAAAGAACGAACTTATGGACCACCCTAATGAAAAATATGGTAGTTAAATTTATAAACTAAATAGGAAATTTTAAATGAAAACTCACACAGCTAAATTCTTTCTCAACCCAATCATTATTTAGCATTAACTGTATCGAACCAAGGCATTCTTTTTCTGAGACACTAATAATTTCAAAAGATTTAGGAAACAATTGCTTTCCTTCCTTATTCATGTCAATTCCGATCAATGCCATTGCGCCACCCTTTAAAGTTAGTAATTTCAAGTTACATGAACTTAGAAAGTCTTATTTTTCTTTTATTTGTTCCAACTTTCATTTCATAGCCAAAAAATTCGACACCGTCCGACAAGAATAATGGGAAAATGTAAAAAAAAAGAACCAACTACTGTAATGTGCAACTCGAAGGCAAAAATTCCGATATATCTCGAGAAAAGAGAGGAGTTAAATTAAATAAATACTGAATCATTTTAGTGTTTTCCTTCTTTATCTTTTTCAACTTAACAAAATTTAAGCTTTACTTCTTCCACAATTTCCTGAATACTTTGACTTTCAAGATTTCCAATAACAGAACTTCCAAAATCATAAACATTTCCATTTATTTCATCAGTCAGAATTGCAAAATTTTTTCCATTATATCCAAGTTGTATTGAAAATAATTTAATAAAATTTTCTGTTTCATTTAATACACTGAGGTAAAGGTCTCCATCATAATTTCTTTTAATCTTTCCAGTCACTTTAATTGTTTTGCCAAATTTAATTCTGAAAAGTCAAGCATAAATATGAATTTTATTTAGGTTGCCACGAATGCTCAGGAGCGTGAGTATTGAGTGAAGTACGGCGGCGTGGTGCGACACTTGGGGACGGACTTTTGCGGACCGACATTTGGTATTGAAAAATAGAAAAAATGAAAAGTTATATTTTATATTAACACATTTGTGGCTGCCATATTAAACGAGGGAATGATCATCCATATGAGGGGAATGATCATTTCACTATGAGGAATGATCATTTGCCTACGGCCTCCAAAATTCTTCGCATTGAAAGACCTTTTTCGGGGTAATGAAAAATAGAATGGCGGTAAAATTTTACTAACTACCGAGTTCCAACTAAAATATAATCCCGATCCCGAGTCGGGACCGGAATCATTATTCCAAAACCTGATCCCGATTTTGGCCAATCCCGATTCCGCATTATTCCAAAATCCCGATTTTGCGTCGGTCCCCCAACTTTAGTATGTATGAATAAAAGTGAAAAAATTGGAAGTACGAGTACGAACAGATTTTAAAATTCTAAACACTGCTAATAACCTTACGTTTTTTTCAAGAAAGAAAACCCAATTTCAACATTAACACCAAATTTAATCCAATACTCTTCTTCTAATCGTTCAAATCCAATTCTTGTGGCATAAATTCTGAATTCAATTCCATGTTTTCCAAATTGATCTTCGTCTTCATATGTTTTACAAGCTTTGGCGTAATCACTTTTTGGATTATTTTTTATCTGAAATATTAGTTAAAGGTTATTGGACTAGACGAAGGTTGGACTATCATACTTCTTTGCCAAATTTAGTATAATAGCAAATCGTCAAATTGACCGAATTCCAACTATAATTAATTTTAAAATTAATGTAACTACAAAATAATGCCACTTTGATTATCGATTTTTTTTCTCTTCTCTTTCAAAAAGGCATAGGCTTCTCTTCAAAGCCTTTCCATCGCTGGTCGCACGTGACACGCACGCGCACGTGCTAGCCACGTGCACGTGACTATCACGTGCAACCAGCCAAAACCTTTTGAAGGATTTTGCGGTAAAATTCTGTTTAAAATTAATATTCCCCCCAACGGAGTCGAACCACCATCCTTCTGCCTGTAGGCGGACGCCCTATCCAATCGGACGCTCGCGAGTGTTACTGGGTCTCAAATTTCTTGTAATATCTGCCGGCCGGTTTCCTTCCTTTTCCACGGGAAAATTTAATATCGATCGGATCCTCAGGTAAATCCCCACTAAGAGAAAATAGAATTAGAAAATAAGGAGAGAGTGTGTTAAGAATAAGAGAGACAGGACTCAACCAGGCTGCCTGGTTGAGTCATAGCAGCGTTCTCTCTCTCTCACACGCAGCTTCTTAGAGAAGAGAGAAGCTGCGTGTGAGAAAGAGAGAGTGTACTCTCTTAGGATAGTACTCTCTTCTAGTTATCCTGCAGCAGGATGGCTGTCACAAACTACAGCGATCCAGCTGCGGGAGAAGAGAAAGAGGGTACTCTCTTAAGAAAGTACACTCTCTCTCTCTTCTATTTTTCATGGGGAAAGATCGTATGAGATTCACGTGATAAAGAGAAGACAATGTAGTGGCAATTACAAAAGAAGAAGAAATTGGTATTTACAAAAGAAAGGGAATGTGTTATTTACAATAGAAGGGGGAGATTACAAAGAAGAGGAAAAAGTGAAGATTTTATGGTAATTTAAGAGATTTTATGGTAATTTTAGGAATTTATGATGTCGCAAAGGGAATGAAAGATTAAAGTACATCACAAGACATGGAGCGTTCTAGGAGGGTTTGACACTATAAAAGCCAGGCAGTTTCCTACGTTTTTCTATTCATTCACTAATTCTAAAAATATTCAGCTAATAAATACGTCCTTTACACAATTAACAATGTCTCGGAAAACTTCTTTAGCTTCGGAGGTAAAAGAACAAAATATTAACGAAGAGACTAATGTTAAACCTATTGTGACAACTGATACACAAAACACATCTAATGATGTAATTGAGATTCATACACCATTCTATGAACCACTTACCAAGGAAGAACTTGCTAAAGTAAATGTTGAACATAAAAAGGCCCCTAAAAAGGAATATCTCTGGAAGCTAATTAGATGCAAATATATGTTGACGATTAAGCTATGCGATGGTAAAAATTTAATATAAATTTAAATTAATTTTTATTTTAGAATGTCAAAATCGTTTGTTCTCGATGCAAGACAAATTTGTACGATATGCATCAGGAGTTACATTAAAAATCGACTTGTGCAATAAATGCATAGATACTAACTGCCGAGCTTCAGATGTTTTGGCTCCATTTAGAGAAGCTGGATCTAAACGCAAGGCCAATTGAAGAATTTATCAATTTAATGAACGGAATTATCAGATATTACTAATTAATAATAATATTATTATGAAACCTATTTAATTAAATCAACTGTTGAATTAAATAAATGTTGTACTTGTCACTTGATCGTTTACCGTATAAACCCTCATTTGTTCTAATTATTAGGCAAAGATTATTAGTTTATTTTGGGTTCCTCTTAGAAACAAGGGGAAAATTCTGAACAATATCTTCTGCCTCGCTATTGGTTAAATAGCCACGGTTACGCAAATATCTTATTGTTGAAACCCAACAAATAATTAGGATGGGTAATAAAAGTGAATATAATAATAGAATAATGGGAAATCCTGTACTTATTGTTTGTCCCTTTTTACCCTCCAAATATTCTCTGTCAAGAGATAAAAAATCGTAAGGAATGTAGCTTGTATTGTTCATTATTATTATTACCAAAATCATGAAAGTTGTTATGTATTAACCTAATGCAGAGTCAGAAACAATATGCCTATTATAATCAATCATTAACAGTTGATCAAACTCGCCCATAATAATCATTTCAACGCCACCTGTTGGAATTGGAGAATTAAATTCTAGACGAACACTTGTTGTTCCACTACGTAAAAGCTCAAAACCACAAGAATCATCTAAAGTAGATGTTAGTGGAATAACAAAGAAGCTCCAACCCAATTTAAATTGGGTCATTGAAATGTCAAAAGACCTATCTGAATTGGCCATCCCCAATGCTTCATACAGGTCAACATAAGCCCTTACAAAAATATCCTCGTCAAATTTAAGCTTATAAGAGACCATCGGATAAATATGCCCGCCTGTATGAACCGAAATATCCCTCAAATTGAACGGTTTAAAATTAAATGGTGAAAGACTAATATCTCCGTTAAAGGCAGCATTTGCAACTAGTGCAACGGTAATTCTTCTTGGAATAGTGGAGCTAAATGCATTGTATTCAATCTCGGTTCTCCCAGGACTGAGGAAAGTGGACTTCAGCTCAGTTCTTCTTACTGCGTAAGTAGCCGGCTTTGATTCGAGGGTTTTGTAAATACTCATGTTAAGTGAAGGCTGTACCTCAATCATTTTTGCTAGTAATTTAACATCGTGGACAAAGATTCTATACTGATTTTCGTCAGCAGGATTTAACTTCTGAAGTGCAAATGAATCCTTGGACCGATAGATACTAAAGTGAATATCAAGATTGTTGAGTAAAAATAATTCCTGATTTCCCAAATCAAAATCTAAGCGAGAAAGAAACTGGGCTCGCTTTCCTTCTTTAAAAATTGAGCAACGTTCTAGAAAACCATGATCGGTAATATCATCATGTTTAGTGCTCCTCCGATAGCCAATGGAAGAAAGAAAATTTGTTTTTACATTTTCAGGAAATGAGAGTTCATTAGTTAAATATGATTTATAAGGATAAAGAGTTCCACTATCATAAACCTCTGTATTACCTACAGTAACTTTAAGTTGTTGAACAAACGTCTGCCCGATTCCTTGTATTGATCCAATACCAGTATCAGTTGCCAAAATACGTGTCCATTTTCCTCCTGCTTCCTGTTTTTCAATTGAAAGCTCAAGGTGAAGATATGTGCGACTCAAGTCTGTCCAGAGATTATCACTAAACAAACGAAATAGATAGGGAGAGTCTTGTGTTATTGTACTTAGTGGAAGAATTTCACGAAAGAAAGAACGAATAACTGAAACATTTGTGGGAGGAACAGAAAAAATGCTTAAAGCACTGTTGAGCGCTAGTGGGCTGTTCTCATTAATCTTCTTGGAACAACTCATTCTAATACGGTCCTAATGCGTCTACTCTTAAACGTTTCTTTGGACGAGATATTTTCTTTTTTGGAAAAGGCGGAATAAAGTTTGGTGGGCCAATCTTGGAATAACAAGTCTTATTTATAATTTCGTTATTCATTTGCCCCATTGTCTTGGGACGAGTTTCCTTTTGTCTTTTGAAGTTAAAACCATTTCCTTTTTGCTTCTCAATATTATTGGCTGCTTTTTCTAACAAATTCTTCAGCCCTGATTTACCCTCATTTATAAGAGATTCTTTAAGGTCCTTCCCTTCCAATACATTACTCAAGACTCGATTGCCTGATTCCAATCCTTGTTGACCAATGGCCGTGCCAATTTCTTTTCCAATTGGAATCAAATACCTCAGCAAACTTCGAAAAACAGAACCTAAACCGCTACCTCTTTGGAAGGGTACTCCACGAAAAACGTTATAACCACCCCATTGGTCATTAGATTCGGTCAAGGATGACCAATCAACATAGAGAGGATTAAAGTCAATATGCATTGTATTGTACAAAATTTGCTCTTTCAATTATTTATATTAAAAGCTTTTGAAGCAATAAACTGCGAGACAAATCTATCTGCATTTACTCTGCTTAATATTAAAATAATATTCTCTATAGAAAAACCTGAACAACGCATAAACAGAAAAAATATTGCGTATTTACCACAAGTGTGCCCCATTGGCCGTTGTATTTGAATATTATTATAGGAAACTTTTGTAAAAGTTGATAAATATTTTTTAATATAAAAGCTAAATGGAGGCCAGAATCCTAACGAATCAAAGTAATCAGCACTAGAGGGAGAGGAGCAAAATATAGCTATCCAATGAGAGCCTGGGAGCATTGAAGGATCCGTATTTACGACCATACAATAGGGAAAGGTAGATATTGTAAGAGGAATCCTATCAGATGCAAAACAGCCAATATAAAACCTCTTTGTAATAGCATTTCTTCGCAGGATTTTGTCAATTTGTATCGTATTCATTAAAAGTAGGCAGATTTTTTAAAGTGGAGAGTTAAAGTACAAGTTCCGTATTGGAATGGCATAAGTACCCCACCAGCCGTGCGTATTTCAATGAGTATCTCAGCAATTTCTTTAACAAGTAATTTATGATATTGTACAGAAAGAAATTGTTCTTCAATAATTTCGTCCTGCTTGCCTCGAATTGTCACAATACGCAGCACAGGAGCTGTAACATCCCCAATCACCATTGGTTCAATTAATCCAGGGGCATAAACATGAAAGCTAGAGACGCCTCCACTCATATCAGGCATGAATTTTGCAATAGTTGATTCATTCAATACAGTCTTGTCAAATCCTAGAATATAAGCTAATTGTTCAGTAATTTCAACTTTCTTTACGTATTTTTTACCTACAAATAGAGAAAAACGATTTTTATATGAATGAAAATCAAATACACAAGCAATCCCCGGTTTCCGATAAACTTGAAGCCACGGTTCAAACCCAGTTTCTTTGGTTAAAGATAATAATTTTTTAGTATTTTCATCAAGACTCGAGTTAAAATCACCTAACATCTCCTCATAAATTTCATTCTCTGACTTGAGATCATCTTCTTGTACTTCAGTTGCATTTAATTCTATTCGCTTCTCCTCTCCTTGTCTCCTATACTCTTCTTTTGATTTTGTTTTAAGCTCTTTAATTCGTTTCTTGTATTCCATTTCAGTAAGCCGTAAATTTTCAGCAAAAGTTTCACACCCTTCACTTAAAGACCTATCCAAACTTTCCTTGAGTTGTTGGGGATTAGTCAGATTACCAGAGGGAACAGCTATTCTAACAACCTCACCACTTTGCCATGTTACAGTCACAAATTGATCAGTACTAGTCCCTATTGAAGGCCACGAGTGGGGGTAGACCATAACAGTCAAGCCCACATACCACTCCGAATTAAATTGTAGCTTACGAGGAAGGCGGACTCTAAAGGAGTTTGTCCTGTTTCCATCAACATTTGTGTTTGAAGGGAGAATGATAAAGAAAGAAGTCATTTTATAAAAATCGATAAGATGACATAATATTTATATCATTTCCAGTTTATTGCACTAGCAGGAATCCACCTGTTATGTTCGTTACCGTATCCTTTGAATTTTACAAATATCTGATCTTCTCTATTATGTCTTCGTTTATCCAAAACTTTTTCCACAACATAGATACTTTCTTTTAATCTTTTTCTAACTAGAACTAAATCATTAGCATAAAACCATCCTCGAATTAAAGCTCCTCCCCGATCACGAATTCTATAGGTGGGAGGTTGATGTGGAACTAATCGGACTTTAGCAATAATAAAGATTTCATTTGTAAAATTTGGCAAATATCCCTTTTTGAACACTTGCTTATACTTTTCGACTCTTACAGGGTCGCCGACATTAAACCTATTTTCTTTCCATCGTGTCGGGCCATGTTGGCCGAGGGCCTTTTCTTTTAAAGATTTTCGCAATGATTCAGCGTTCTCATAATTAACATCTACAGGACGCATCCCAATACTTGAATTCAAGGAATTGTTTATAGAATTGACAATATCTTGAATAACATTCACCCATTTTAATGTTCTGTTCTCCGTAAAATAACGGTATAATCGCTCTTTAATGCTACGATTTGCTCTTTCAGCCATACCTGCATGCCATATAGGAGAAGTAATCATAGAGAAATGTTCCATATTTAATGATTTGAAATATTTTTGTACTGGAGTTGCGGTAAATTCTAGTCCTTGATCAGTCAAAAGTTTCCAGGGAACAATTTTTACTCTAGCAAATAGCTTTTTAAATGCATTAATCATATTCCCGCTATGTTTACTTTTGACAGGTTCAACAAATATTTGACGGCTGAGTGTATCTATACAGACTAAGAGATAGTTAAAACCTCTATTCTGGCTGCTTATACGATTAAAAACACTCAAATCAGCCTGCCATTCAGTATGCAAACCCGGAGCAAGTGTTGGCATTCGCTTAAATTTTCTCACAACTCTTCTATGGAGAGTATAGACATTTTGCCCTGCAAGATAGTTTTTTACATCTTGCCTTGAGATGCTTTTGTTAAAACATTTAGCCTCTCGCAATAGAGGTTCAATAGAAGTGAAACAAGAGGAGGATTTTACATTTTTATACAATTTATTTAAAAGCTTGGTCTTTTCCATAACGACGGCTTAAAACAAAATACCCCGGAACCTTTTTGCTTACTTGTAGATTCTGGGAATAAAATTTGTTGTAAAATAGGATGATCGTTTATTCTTTTAATAAATTCGTCGTAACCTGTAGGTAATTTCTTTGTACGCATGCCTCTATTTCTAATTATGTGGTTAACAATTTCCTCAACATTACTTGTAATTAATGGATAACCATTACCAATCTTTCTTGCAAGTTTTCCATCTTCCAAAATGCCTAGAATATCAGCATGTTCTCTTAAATATTCCATTACTTGATCTTTTGGATCAGCAACGCTTTCAGCTGACTGATATTCTTCACCATCATCCTTACCCTCATCCTCTTCTTCCTCTTCATATTCATCATCATTAACATCTCCCTCCTCCTTTCTCTCTTCAATTTTAATTGGAATGAATTTTCTCTTTTTAATCCTTCTATTTTTTTTTCTTAGGGTTATGTTAGAACTAGCACCTAAATTTTCAGAAAAATTTTTTACATTTACATTTATTGGTTTTTCCTCTTTTTCTTTGAAAATTTTGTTAAATCTTTTAAAATTCTGCTCATAGTTAAGTGCTTGAGAATAGGGATCCTCTCTCACATTATTGGTAACATTTTTCAAACGATTTTTAATTAAACCAATAGCAGTTCCATCCCCCTCTTCTTCATTTTTTTCTAAAAGAGAATTGTAAAAATCTTCAGGAATAAGAAACATTCGTTGCATTTTTCCATTTTTCTATTATTTTTTCATATTTATATTATTTATTTTTTCAACAATTAACGGGATAACTAGACTTGCAATAAGTCCGGCCAAAGGAGGAATACCTTTTCCCTGTTGCAATAAATTTCTTGTTGAGAGGGCGGTCCGAGACCGACTAATTTTACGTAAAACACTTGCATTTCTTTGAAGAGTATTTATCCTGTTTTTATGAAAAGGGAGACGCCCCCTTAGTAAATTTAAACAAATTTCAACAAAACATAATAATTGTTCATCAGTCGCTTTTTCCAAAAAATTTCTCAATACTTTTTTTGAATTTGTATTTACTGAATGTAAAAAGTCAGCATTCCTTTCTATTAAATCGCTAGTTTTTGTCATTTTGGAACATAAACTATTGTTAGCTTTTCATTGTATATATGTGTTCTGAGTCGAAGCTTTTCTGGTGTACTTGGGTGAAGATCAACCAAAAGATAGCCAAATATTTCTTTTGTCGCGTCAGCATACGATTCTAGAAAGTATTTTGACCGCGAGGGGAATAATTGTGTAGCAAGGTTTTTAATCTGTAGAGAACCAGCGGGATTCCTCATTAAAACCAAATAATGTGAATTATTACGAGGAATTCTTAATTCTTTACAAAATAAATGTTGTGTTAACAGTATGACACTCATTTTCCAGTTATGGGACCCCCTTGTGAATATTGTTTCTAATATAGTTGGATTAATTCCAACCATTAAATCGTCAAGTATAAGTAACATTCCATTGGCCTGCCTTTTAATAAAATCTTCGCTGGGCATACCAGCGTGAACAGTAACACATATATCTCCACCGAACCTTTACGCTGCATTTGTAATATATTTGAATTTAACTCCCCATAACAATAAAGAATTATTGAAATTTTTTCACTTGTCATTTGATTTAGATTATTCAAAAACTTTTTTACCCATTCGGATTTACCGGATCCAGTACTTCCTGACACAATCATCGTAAAAGGGTGCTTGAAAAGCGTGTGAATAAAATCAACGTGTTCAAATCCGTTCATTTTAAAAGGTACACTGCAAGCATTTTAAAAATATATATAGATCAAAAAATTGTAATTTCTATTCAGAACAATGGAATTTCTAACGCTCATGACTTGGGGAGTCGAAGATGGTGTGCCATTTATTCCTGAGCCTTTGCCGGTCGAGTTAGCCCAGCCGGAATTAGTCATTGTTGACGAGGAACCGGAGGTAATTTTTAGTTCAAACTCCAATTATTTCTAATTTTTAGCCAGCCGCTCCAACAGTTGGAGAAGAAAACGCTTGTGAAGCAAAGGAGGAGCAAAAGGTATATTTTTTACAAAGCCCAATTTATTCTAATTGTAGCCGCCTACACCAGCATTTGGTGTTCCTTCTGAAGTAGAGGTCAAAGAAGAAGAGGAGGAAGATATTGACGAGGCGATGCTCGACATGAGTGACAAACTGCTTCGCATTACTATAGACGAACCTTTGGACTGGACTGTCGAAAATCCATTTCGTGACCCTACTCCGCCTCCAGCGGAATCTGTACCACTAATTAAATACTTGTGCAACCTAAAGAACTGCACTCTCAAAGAACTACACGTTCTCTTCCACAATCTTGAGGAGCGTCGGGAAATAATTAATCATCTGCGTCGAAATGTTGAACTTCGTAAATGTTGAACTTCGTACCCTTATTTACCTTGTAAAGAACTGCACTCTCAAAGAACTACACGTTCTCTTCCACAATCTTGAGGAGCGTCGGGAAATAATTAATCATCTGCGTCGAAATGTTGAACTTCGTACTTGTCATCTCAAACCTTCCTGCAAAAACTTTATTGTTCACTGCAATGATCTGACTGTTCAATCGGCAAGTTCGGTTCATGCTATGGGTGGATATTTGAGTATAACGGTAAATATTTTTAAAACTACTTTGACAAATTTATATTCAGGTCCGTGGATACTACTACATCAAGCACAATGTCAAGCTAGTTCACCCTTATTTACCTTGTATCATTGAATTTGGAGGAGGTCGTCACCGTTCCTACTACCCGTTGGAAGTTCTTTCTGTGAATGAGAATAAGATGAAAAAATGCTTTTGATTTTTTAAATTTTTACTTCAAGTAAATATTTTTTAGTAGTTAAATTTTAAAAGTAAATATTATGAACATAGAAAATTGTACTGCGGTATTCAAACTTTTACCTAAGAAATTGAGATTTTCTCATGAAGATTTCATTCAACTAGCTAGATTTGGAATTAACACAGAGTATAATCCCAAGAGATTCCATTCAATAATTATGCGAATTCGATTAAAAGAAAATAGAACCACTGCTGCACTCATATTTGAGTCTTCAAAAGTAGTCCTTACTGGTGTTCCAAATCCAGAACTTGCTAGAAAATTGGCATGGAAAGTTACAAAAAGTATTTTGTCTTCTAACAAAGCAGCTGGAAACGACAATTCTTCAATTAAGCCAAGGAATCTCCGTGTTACTAATATTGTAGGTGTATATCGCCACCTGCAACGTTTGGAAATTGAGCAACTTTATACTCAGCTTAGAAACAACAATAATTTTCGTCAAGTCTTTTACGATCCTACAATCTTTCCAGCACTTAGATTTAAAATTAAAGAAGTGTCCTGTCTTTGTTACATCTCAGGACGTGTGATTTTGACGGGAATTAGAACTCAAAAAGAGATGAAAGAGATATTTGAAATTTTTCTTTTACCCCTATTTGTAAAATATTCACGAAATAATTTTCATAAGATTTAATAGACAGTTAAATGTATGAGCACAATTAAAAAATAATATCTATGAGTATCTTGCCAAATAATCCTCTCTTGCCCATCCAGATCCGCCAGGCAATGCTTCGACGACCTTTTGTACTTCTCCAGGCTATAATAGAAAATTGTTTATTTGGTTATCTCATTTAATTACCTCCTCCCTATAGCCAAATGGTAGTGTCTCCATTCCAGGAAGTATTCTTCCTTTCTTATAGCAAGGCCTATAGTCTTTGTGAGCCATATGTGTGTAGAGTTCAGACAGTCTTGTGCGCCCAATCTGCGGAAAGTCAACGCCAATCACCCCATCAGCAAGAACTTCGTCACTAATTAGAGGTTGATTAATAAATATTAAACAACTTACATCTCCCCATCAATGTTGAATTGATCCAACACAAGTTGTTTCATTGTGTGGAAATTAAGAAGTTGATGCGTAGCATAGGAAAGGGGAAAAGAGCGGATCTTGAGTTCGGCTCTTTCATCACCACCAGTTTTTGCATCCACATGACGGTAGCCGTAATTCTTGGGGCCACCCGCAACAAACTCTACTATTCGCCTAGTTGGAATTTCTCTTTTCATTTGTCCAAGTGCTTCGCCTTCCGTCACTTGCTCCCCTCCTTGTTTTGTAACATAGATGATGGAATCCGTGTCGCAATACAAGAGTTGGCCACCAATGTTGTTTACTTCTTGCAAATACCCGTATAAATGTAGTCTAGCATATGATGTTACAAATACTGCAACTGGTAAGCAGTTGGTCTCAGGCACCCTTGCGAACTCGGCCTTTTTCCTGACCACACATATGTCCATTTCTTCACTAACGTGGGAAAAGTCCAGAGTGTCGATCGTGGGGTCCTCCAATAGCTGATGAAATTCTGCTGGTGTACGCGCATATTGAATCTCTGTCCCTCCAACACGCTGTGCCAGCTTTCCCCAAAGCGAGTTGGCCAATATTTTCTAAAATTTACAAATAATAGTAAAAGTTCCATAAAATTACCGCAATCATTCTCAGGCCTGGGTTCAACTCCACTTTAGCCATGTCCAGCCTAATACCTTCCACTTGTTCAAATTCATCCAAATAGCGTTGTTTTTGCTCCAATGTCTCACAACCTTGAGGCCAGCCACTTGCTTGTTGTTTAAGCCCCACAAAAGTGTTGACGTATCCTTTGAACAAATCAGGGTCCCAGCGTTCATAGTGCCAAACCTAAATTTTTAATAAAAAATTTCTACAAAGTAAAAACCTCATAGACATCCACAACTTTGTAGCCTAGGTCCAATGCTTTGTTTAATTCAACGTGGGTATACCCACTCACCCACGAGCGTTTCTTTTCTGTATGATGGCACGGATTTTGTTGCCTGTCGTCAGCACACGCAGCACATAGCGGGAACGTTAAACGTCCGTCATGTGTGCGATAGCCAAGTAAAGGTGGTAAGAGTCCTCCTATTGATGTTGGAGGTAGAACTTTGACCAGCAAAAGCCCTTTGTAAATATTGTCGTCACGATGAGTCCAAGGCAATGTGTTGAGTAGCGTCTCTCTCGTCAAAACTGTTGGATGACCAATTGGAAATTCGCATGCCTTCATAACATATGGGTAGAGACTCACCTATAGTAATAAAATAATATAATTGATAAAGTGAATTTACAATGTCAATGTAGAGAATCTCTTCGTCATTTCCACAGACGTGATGAAGCTTGAAAGGTTCAGTTCTTCCACCTCTTAAACAATCATCTCTCGGATCCATTGGTCTCACATATTCAATTTCCCACCATTGTCGCTTAAGTTCAGGATTACGAATTAATCTTTCCTTCATTTCATGTCCCCAAACTACATGAAGATCGTACCCGTGCTGTTGTTCCAACTCGTATAGACGTTGTTGGGTCCTTTCATACAGCTCTTCAGCAGTTCTTCCAGCTGCCAAACGCTGGCTGCGAATCGGGAAGCATTTTGGGCAGCCTATATTTGATAATGGGTGTGTAGCAAAAGAATAAAATTACCGTGGTAATAACAGCCCATGTATTCGATGGCCAGTGGGCGAAGTGGAGGTAATCTATACCAAAGTCCGTCCAGACGATAGCCACTATCCTCCACATGAGCTTCGCCAACAGCCCACTGTGCACATTGTACTTTCCCTGATGATTCAGGATTTTCCATCTCAAACAGCTTGATGTAGCGCTGCGACTCTGCTGATGCCCTTCTCCCGCGCAAATAACCTCCTTCTGGTGAATGAACAAGCCAATTTTCTGGTAAAAAACATCGACGTAATGTTGTCAGAGCAAGCCCTGCCGCTGTTGAGGCAGCAATGAATGGATCCAGCTTCTGAGTGTGATCTCCGATTAGATGCCTAAAACGGAGAACACTCTCACGAAGAATGGCCACGTCGTTAACACAGTAGACGATTAGCTGTTCACGCAGCTGAAAGTGAGTAGTTGGGTTGTTCATTTGTTGTTGGTGCCATTCAATAAGTTTCGCTCTCTTTTCAATCTTCTTATAGTCAGGCTGGTAGTAGTCCAATGGAGGAACGCCTCTTATTCGATCGTGTAGATGTTGTCTTTTCACGTAAAGATACGGAAAAAATGGCTTGGTCGTAGCCAATTCCTCCGGTAGAGCAAAGACTTTGGTGAGGGCATCAAGTTCGCAGAAGAAGTAGTTGAGAGAATCCTTAAAAAGGACTTTTCTTTGATGACTACCGCCCAGCCGCATTGAATATATTTTAAGTCCTGTTGTGCAGAGTCGTTTTGGTGGGATGCTGCGATGGTGGAGTGCCTCTAATAAAAGATGAAAATCGTATTTACCACCATTGTGGGCGATGCAGACAGTGAGAACATTTTTTGGACCATGCTGTTGCAAATAATCAAGAAACTGGTCCACGGGGCTGTGCTGTTCGTTGTCGAAGGAATGAAAGTACATACGCCGAGGATTATAGAAAATGTTTTCGGGTGTTGGAGTGTTGTCGCCTTGAGAATTTCTGAAGGGAGGTGAACACCAGCGCCGCCATTGATCATTACACGGCTTTCCACAAAAGCAGCCTTCCGCTCGTTGCCCAATGTTTTCAATTCCAATACCTGCAATGATGCACTTTTCGCAAATTACCTGCAAAAAAAAATATGTTCAGTAGAAAAAAGAAAGATTACCTCTGCAATTATTAGCAAAGGCACGTGTTTGAATCCATTGATGTTGCTGCTGACTTGCATGGGCTGATCTTGACTTGTCTCTGCGTCGAAAAAGCACAGGCGTAATGGAGTAGGCTTCCCATTAACTTCTTCATCACCTATTTCCTTGAGTGGCTGGATGTAACACGGTTGTTCTTGCTTATGGGGGCCTTTGCATTGCTTACAAAACGTATATTGAGATGTGTTTGTACCTTGTTGCTGTTGCTGTAGTATGCGTGGGAGGCATTCTGCTTGGTGTCTTTGTTCTTGATCGGCATAAATGATGTGGTTGCAACGAGCACAAATTCGTCGCATTTGGCAGATTGATTTAAAAGTTCTTTTTCCGCGGCGAACCATCTCTTCGGGTGCTTCATTTCTCAGATGGTAGTCGAAACAGGCGCGCTTTGGAAAGACAAAACCACAGTCAGCACACGTAATTCTCTCTTCCAACTAAAGGAAAAAGCAATGTTTGTAATAAAAATAGAATTATACCTGACATGGGAATTCTGGACCAGTTCTCATGCATAATCTACAGACAACACTGCAGCCTGCCCAATGACTCCACCTAGAAACACCTTTCTCACAGTCGATGCAGTAACGATCAACATTAAATAGTTGTTCTGGCCTGTCAATGTAGTGGTAATGGTTGTTTTCCAAGAGAAGACAAATGTTGAAACGCGCTGCTTTTCCTTCTCCTTTATATACGATCCGATACTGTTGTTCTTTTTTAAACACTACCAGGCGAATATATCCCGCACCACCCATGTGATGATTTAAAGATTGTTGCAATATTTCTAGATGGGCCAGCGAGTATTCCGGAAGATCCAGCGGAATACCTGCTTTTCGTAGCATTTCTTGTGCTGGTCCTGCGTGTTGATCTTGTGACTGTTTGCAAAAGGCCTTGAATCGATCTGCTGCTTCTCCTCTCTCCATCATCCAGATTTTAGTTAGTCCTACAAATACTGCACGTGCAAGACAAAGACGGTCATTGGGGTTAATGATTCGGATTATTGATCTACACCTTGCCGTGACAACATGTTCTTGATCGTTGTCGCATCCACCTTGAGTAACAGGATCAGCTTACAAAAATATGTTAATCAAAACTATTACTCACCGTTATGGTCAGCTGGATTGCCTGTCCGTTGAGCTCCAAGAGGACAAACAGCAACCACCTTTGTTGTTGTTGTTCCGCTTAGAAGATCAATCCCTGCTTGGGAGATCTCGTTCAAGCGTTCAATAGCTGCTGCTAGCGCTGCCGGATTATTTTGGGCGCGTGGTCGTAGTGGTAGTGTGAAAGGATGATGGAAGTTTGGTGGCTGCACCTGCAAGCCCACAAGCAACGGCTCAGGACGACCAGCCAATACACGGTCCAAGAGCTGGGAGACAACGTCGGACATGGCCAAGTCCGGACGTGCATTTTCCTCCAGTGGGCGAAATCGGATTGTGCATGTTTCGCCCCTTGTGTTGCGAGATGTTGAAGCAAAGGGTTCAGAAGACTCGATTGTGAAGTATTCCTAAATTTGAAACTTAGATGAGGATAAGAGTATCCCGGTCAAATAGGCCCCGCCCTTAGTAAATTTAAATTTTACTTCATTGATTATTGTATTAAAATCGGACATATGAATATTTTTAAATTTTTAAAGAAATAACGGAAATTTATTGTAGAAATTTAATATATAAAAATGGAAATTTTTAGTTTAATGGAAGTGGAGAACTTTTTACCTAAGTAAGAATGAAACTTGATGTCGGCTATTGGAAACTGCCGGGCTTTTATAGCGCCGACCCTACATACTTAGCCGCCCGCTCCTTTCTATACTTTAACCTTTCATCCCATTCCGATAACATAAATTCCTAAAATTACCATAAAATCTCTTAAATTACCATAAAATCTTCACTTTTTCCTCTTCTTTGTAATCTCCCCCTTCTATTGTAAATAACAAATTCCCTCTTCTTTTGTAAATACCAATTTCTGTCTTCTTTTGTAATTGCCACTACATTGTCTTCTCTTTATCACGTGAATCTCATACGATCTTTCCCCATGAAAAATAGAAGAGAGAGAGAGTGTACTTTCTTAAGAGAGTACCCTCTTTCTCTTCTCCCGCAGCTGGATCGCTGTAGTTTGTGACAGCCATCCTGCTGCAGGATAACTAGAAGAGAGTACTATCCTAAGAGAGTACACTCTCTCTTTCTCACACGCAGCTTCTCTCTTCTCTAAGAAGCTGCGTGTGAGAGAGAGAGAACGCTGCTATGACTCAACCAGGCAGCCTGGTTGAGTCCTGTCTCTCTTATTCTTAACACACTCTCTCCTTATTTTCTAATTCTATTTTCTCTTAGTGGGGATTTACCTGAGGATCCGATCGATATTAAATTTTCCCGTGGAAAAGGAAGGAAACCGGCCGGCAGATATTAAAAGAAATTTGAGACCCAGTAACACTCGCGAGCGTCCGATTGGATAGGGCGTCCGCCTACAGGCAGAAGGATGGTGGTTCGACTCCGTTGGGGGGAATATTAATTTTAAACAGAATTTTACCGCAAAATCCTTCAAAAGGTTTTGGCTGGTTGCACGTGATAGTCACGTGCACGTGGCTAGCACGTGCGCGTGCGTGTCACGTGCGACCAGCGATGGAAAGGCTTTGAAGAGAAGCCTATGCCTTTTTGAAAGAGAAGAGAAAAAAAATCGATAATCAAAGTGGCATTATTTTGTAGTAATGTATATGTTTTGTTGTTATTTTTATAATTAAACAATTTAAATCCAAATTAATTTCAAAAAACCTACTCTCTCATTTTGTTCGAATCGTCAGATTTATATTTGCAAATTTCTGATGATTTAATTCCGGAATCTCGTTGCTTTTTTGCTTCTTCTGAATTACAAGCAAGATTTCTTAAAAGTGTCCATATTTCAATTCGATTTGTAATGAAATTTTGATTGGCAGAAAACATGTCCTGTTAATTAACGTTAAATATAAGTTCTAATTGAGTTAGAATAAAAACAATAAAACACTTGAAATTGAAATTTGGGAGAACTACCGCGAGACCAGTGTACCGAATAATTTTAACTTTGTCCAAAATTATCAAATCCTGGCACCCTGGTATGATTTGATTCTTCCCATTGAGGAGTATCGAACCACATCAGGGCGTTATATGGTTCTGTGGTTTCAAGGAATGTACCCTTGGAATTTATTACAATGAAAATACTATTTTAAATTAAATTCCTTACACAATGGCTAGTAGTATGAAATTCATATCCATCAAGTTTTAATTTTAAATAACAAGATTTTGATGGAAATTCCATTTCATCATAAAGTCTACTAAAATAATTCCACAGTTCCATATCTAATCCAAGAAGTGAAATTGCTTCATTCTTTAACGAATAAGAAAATTATGGATATTTTTCAAAATAATTATTTTTAGTTTAAAAAATTTAAGTATTATCAAAGAATTATAGAAAAAGGAATAAAATTTGGGGTAAATTTTGCAAGAGGGTGGGTCCATGCTGCGTCAATTCATTTTCAAATTCAACGACTTACGAGTCCTCTCCTGTCTCTAACACAAGTCATTCTTCTCCCATAAATTTTTAAATGAAATTTAAAAGATATTTTGTAAGAGCCCTTGATAAACGACACATTAAATCAAAATTCAATACCCCTTCAGCAATCATTTGAAAACTATTTTCTTTGTGGCCATCCCTTTTGCTAAATAACAAATTAATTCTATATTTTGCACTTGACGAATAATCCAATTTTTTCCCGGTAATTCCAGTTAAAGTAGCAAAGAATGTGTCTTCTGTGCCTAGTTTAATGGTGAAGATTGTAAAAGTTGCGTTTTCAGTTGATGGAAGTTCCATAAATCCGTTGGTTTCGTTGATCAGTCCAGTAATGGTCACAGAGTTTTGAAAAGAAAAACTTAAAAATATTATGCTTTAAAATATTATGTCCCCAATTTCTCTTAAAATCTTTCGATATCTCATATCTCTCATTATCCCCTTTAATCCCTCCAGATCCTCTCGTTTAAATTTTAAAGAAATAAAAAGTAAAAAATAGTGTTGATCATAAGTTTGAGTCTTCAGGGTTTATGTCTAAAGGGTGTAGGTTTTTTTGAACATCTATTGCATAGATTTGTACATATCCGAGATAGTGAGGGGATCATAGTTATTTAAAGTCGTTTAAATCTCCGTTCTACCTCTATTTTAACTTACTAGTACATTCCCTCCCCCTTAACAACAAAATTAATTATTTTATGTACTATCACCTTTTGTGGGTGAAAGAAAATCCAATTTTTGAATAAACATTATATTCAATTTTATATTCATTTCTATTATCATCACGTTCAAAAGATTTCCTTCGAGCACAAACACGCATTTCTATGGCGTGTTGTCTTGGTTTTTTGCACTTGTCTCCACCTTCCTTATTTTTTAGCTGTTTTTAACAAATTTTTAATCAAAAAATTGCTAACAAATTACCTCAATACGTTCATCATCCCCTTCCAATTTAGAGTTATAGCATATAATAAATGTTGACCACATTTCCCTTTAAAATTTAATTGGATTAGTTACTAATTAAATTTAATGATTTTACTCTTCGCATTCCTCATTATATTCTTTATCAATCACTTTACATTTCTTATCCAAATATTTTTTGTTTACTTTTTCATATTTCCCTGGAAGACAACCCAAATCATAAATGTTTGCCACCAAATCCAATTTATGAGGGCTATAAGCTTTTGGTCGACGTTTATAGAAATCCTTAAAAAGAATAACTTTCAAACTTTTATTTTAAATTTGTTACTATTTTTTTGATTTCAACAACAATTTAAGAAAAGGGAAATCAGTCTAGACATTTTTCAACCGAAAATCTTCCCCTTCCATGTTGTGTATTGGAATGGCCGGGTTACCGATAGCCGACGATCGCCTGTTTTCGACCTTCGAGCCGAACACCGAAACTCGGTCCGAAGAAAATTTCGAAGATTCAAACCTTCAATTTAATTTTTTTCTTAACCCCGCCCTTCCCTTTGATGTAAATTTGGAATTTAACAAAAGCAGAAAATATTCTATAAATGTCTCCTTATTAAATTCCAAGCAATATTTAATTAAAAACTCTCCACCACCTCATTTACAGGACATCTATTTATTAACTTCCAGAGAAATTGACGGTTAATTGGTTTAGTTTCGATGTTTTTATTAGACTCGTCCAACATAATATCAAGTTTTAACGCGAAGATTCCAGGATAATCATCAAGCAAAGGCCTTGGCTTTTTAATAGAATTTGTAAAGTTTTTGTCAACTTTACTATCTAACAAGATCTTTCCTTTAAAAATAAAACAAGATTTTGTTTATAGTCGATTTAAAAAATACCTTTTAAAGAGTTATCCTTTTTCATCAAGAAATTGAAAAGTACCGGTGGTGTGGTATCGCGTAAGAGAATTCGGTTACTTTAAATTAATTGAAATTTTATTAAAAATTCAATTGGAATATAATTAAAGATTTATTAAAAGTTGAAGAGAGAGAGGGGCCATTTAGTGAATTTTATTTTTAGATGGGGGGGGGCATCTTTTAGAGGCATTGTTAAAAGTTCTCTCTCAATTTTCCTCTCCAATATTTTATTCAAATTTTAATACAACATTTAATTTAAATACAAACTCTTCACGGAAAATATCAGCAAATATTTCCACATCATTTTTTCCATCTTTAAATACAATGAAGCCGTGCCATTTAATATTATTAGCATTTCCGAGCTTAGCTTCCTTTTTCGAGTTTAGGCAGAGTTTACTTTCCCCTTTTTTCGTTAATTCAAAGGCCTTGGATGGTTTCCAATTTCCTTCAGAATTGGGAGAAAGCTGGCTGGGATAGCAGAATAAAATTCTGAAATTTTATAAGTAATATATATATATATATACAAATATATATAATAATATATAAAAAGTACCTAATTTATCTTTGACCCTATTCTACAAAAATTGACTGACTCCAAATATCTATCAAAATAAATTATTACCCGCTACACCCAGCCAAATCATCAACCGGCATTTTATTATCATTAATGTCCTTCTCCATAATTACTTTAACAGTACTTATAGGCTCGAACATTCTGTCGTTTATGGAGCAATTTGATAAGAAAATACGAACACAGAAAACCATTAAAATGGCTAATAAAGCCTGTAAAGGCATTATAACCATTTTTTAGAAAATTCTGAAAATTTAAAGAATTTTATTTCCAAGATTTAATCCTCTAATAAATCTACCATGAAAAACGATAGGGAATATACCGTATTACCTCTAATATAATGCCCGGTTTACTATTTTTCAAATACCTTCCAAAAGGGCATTTTATTTAGTTTTATTTAAGATTAAAATTTCTAAAATCAAATTTGAAGTCGAATTTGAAGTGAATAATTCGAGTTCCAAAAATTCGAGAATTAAGAAAGATTTTGAGGTTTAAGCAAGTAGGTTATGGTGATTAAGAGGGAGATTATATAAAATTAAGGGTGATATTAGAGAGTAAGAGGTTAAATTTATTCATTTACTATTAGTATATAACTGCTAACGAATAAATTTAAAAAATATTTTATCTTTTTTTTTTTTTTTTCTTTATCGAACACAAATAAATAAGTGTGAAACAATAAAATAAAACTCCTGGATCCACAGGGATCACTTATGGAGAGGTAACGTACAATAAAAAAAAACAAATAAAATATGACTGTTTTAAAAAAAATGTTAAGTTGTAAAAAAAAATAAATAATGGACTCCACAGAAAAAATAAATTAAATGTATAAAATTAAATGCCATAAAAAAATATATAGGTATGTATATTTGGGTATATAAAAAATATTTGTATTAAAACTAATTTTATTTAAATGTTGAGTAAATTTGTTTAGGTAAGAAAGTGAACATTTGGGTTAGGATTTTATGTTAATACACTCCATTAATTCATACTCATAAATTATAATCTTCTGTGGTTAATATTTTGTCTAAAAATTTTTTAAATTGCGGTATAGTACTGATTTTTTCAATTTCTTTTTTTGGAAGTTTATTCCACCTATCTATGACTCTATGTGAAAAGAAATGATTATTTTTGGCTTGCTTTTTGAATAGCTGATATTTATGTAAGCGCGGATTAATTCTATTAGGTTTTGAAAATATTTTTTCTGGATTTATTTTATAGAAACCCATGATTATTTTGTAGGTTGTCATAAGATCAGTTTTTATACGACGGAGATTGGAGGGAAGGAGTTTGCATCTTTTTAGTCTTTCGTTATATTCTATTTTCTGGTATTTGTATTTATATCTTAAAATTCTCCTTGTAAAGCTTTTTTGTGGTCTTTCTAATTGTTTATTAAGATATTCTAATTTGGGGCTAAAATTTTCGGTGGAATACTCCATAATGGGTCTTACGTATGTTTTGAATGCTTTTACATATGTTTCTATTGGTAATGTTTTTGGTAATATTCTTAGGATATTGTTTATTCTTATAAATGAGGATTTGGTAATTTTTGATATATGATGATCAAACTTTAGCTTGTTATCTATGTATATACCTAGATCTCTTATGTTATTAACCTCTTCGATTTTTTTACCATTTATCTCATAATTAAACCTAATTTTATTGTATATTTTTAAAACCTTTACTTTTGCTATAGAGAATTTAAGTTGATTCATTTCTGACCATTTACACGCATTGTCTATAGCCCCCTGTAACTCTATACAGTCCTTTTCCGTCTTAATTTCTGAATAAATCTTAAAATCGTCCGCATAAAGTTTTACTTTAACATTTTGTGGAATATATTTTGGAAGGTCATTTATATAAATTAAGAAAAGTAATGGACCTAAGACTGTCCCTTGTGGGACTCCTGTTTTTGGGATAAATGGTTCGGAAAAATGTTCTTCTATTTTTACACTATGTGATCGATTTGAGAGAAAATTCGCAACCCATTGAATTATTAACCTATCTATTTTTAATTCTTGCATTTTTCTAATAAGTATTTCGTGGTTTACTTTATCAAAGGCTTTCTCAAAGTCAAAATATATAACATCTGTACCTATTTTCCTGTCAAGTGAACTATACCAGTCTTGCATCGATGATAAGATTTGAATTGTACAAGAGCTTTTCGGTAAAAATCCAAATTGCTCTTCTGCGATTAATTTTTGTTTGTTAAGGTGTTCTAAGATATTATTTGCTATAATACGCTCAAAAACTCTACAAGTCGGGGATGTTAAAGCAATTGGTCTGTAATTTTTTGGGTCGTTTACCGAACCCTTCTTTTTAAATATCGGTAGAATGTGGGCTGTTTTCCATAATTCAGGGACTATTCCTGTTTTAAATGTATTTTTATATAAAATTGAGAGAGGGAGAGCTAAGGGGGTAGCACATTTTTTTAGAAAATATTGGTTGATATTCTCAGGACTATGGGATAATTTATTTGGGAGCTTTTTTAATAGTTTTTCTATTATATATGGTTCAAAAGTGATTTCTTCCTGATATTCGTCCTCAGCTACGAGGCTTGCTTGTATATTGTTTTTACCTCCACTAACTATTTCTTCAAAAATATTTCTAAATTTATTTGCTTTGTCTGTGTCGGATATTATGGGGTCGCCTTCCTCAGATTCCTTAAGTATAGGTATACCAGAGAAGTTAAATCGATTTCTTTTCATTAATTTATGTATTTCCCCTATGTGTCCAGATCCTATTTTTTTCGATAGATAGTTGTTTTTATATTTTCCTATTTGTAATTTACATTTAATTTCAAGACTTTTATAATTCTCTTTACTAATTTCCCCTAATTTTAGCTTTTTCCATGCATCAGCTTTTTGTTTGATTATTTCTCTAATCTCTTTAGGGTATTTCATGGGTGTTTTCTCACCAAATTTTTTAATAGGGATGAATTTTTGAATTACTTGGGTTATTATTGAATTCAGTATTTCGGCCATTTCTGAGGGGTTTTTTTTATTAAGTATATTGTTCCAGTTATATTGAGCTAGGTACCAATTTATTATTTTATATTTCCC